TCTCCCCAAAACCCCAAAACCCCATATTCAATGAATTACATTTAATAATAAGTTAGTCAAAATTATAATATAATTAGAATAGTAAATTTATAAGATTAAAAATTGCGCTATAATAATAAGCATTAATGTCTGGGTATACAAACGTTCATAAAATGGCTGACTCAAAGAGTCTTCACAACTACACCCTTTCACCTGGTTGGACAAGAGAAGAAGTCGACATCTTGAAAATAGCACTGATGAAGTTTGGTATTGGGAAATGGAAAAAAATTTAAAAGTAAGCCAACCTGAATTGCATTAATCTATTTGCTTAGATCAGGATGCTTGCCCTCAAAAACTATTTCTTAAATGAATTTGTAAACTCAGAGAGTATTGGGTTAGCAATCTTTAGCTGAGTTTATGGGACTACATGTCAGACTTGATTAGGTTTTCCATGACAATGCCTAAAAAATTGTAATGAACTATTTTCTCTTTATTTTAATTGTAGGGTCCAGAAATCTAAAGGAAAAATAACTTTATTATCAACACAGGTAACAATCTCACTCAACTAGAAAAAGAAAAGAGGCTTAAGTTGAATAAGCAAAAATATGGATTAGAACTAACCTACATAAAATCACTCAGATTACCTAAACCAGTTAACAATAAAAAAGAAGTTGTTTTAAGTATCGATCAGATTTTTAACGCAAAGAGCAATTTCTCTGTTGTTGAAAAACTCAAGCATTTGGAAGGATTGAAAATTTCATTGGAGCATAAACTTTACTAAATTGAAAAGAAAAGACATATAAAAGAAATGAGAAAACTGTATAAACCACTAGACTAAGCAATTGTTTTAGCTAAAATCAATGGAGGATAAGCATATGAATATGTTGAGACAGTGGATCTCTGAATTTTGAAGTCTATAGACTAATCTTCTTTACTTATCTTGATAGATAAGACCTAATAAATTAATTTTTAACTATTTATTTTGCTAATTTTTGTTTTCTGGGGTTTTGGGGTTTTGGGGTTTTGGGGTTTTGGGGTTTTGGGGTTTTG